CGTCGCCGCGACCGCGTGGGTGACGCGCTCAGCGGTTGCGAGGGAGAGGGAGGGAGGAGGAGGAAGGTTGAGACAAGGACGGACAGCAGCAGCAGGAAGTGGCGTGGAGGGAGGTGGAGGAGCAGGAGGACCAGAGGAGGGCGGAGGAGGGGAGATGAGGGGGGCGAAAAAGATGAAGAAGGACTCGGATCCGGAAACGTGGCCCGCGCTGGGGCGAGCGCGAAATTCTGAACGACTGGAGCGCAGTGCCGATCCGAAATTGAGGCCAACGCTGAAGCAGGCGCACAATCTTGAGATATCGAAGACACTCGGACTGCAAAACACACAAAAACACTACTTTTCGGAATACTGTGGAAATGCGCGGAGATCCGCATAGTGTCAGGGGGAACATGAGACCAGTACTCATCATGTGTCATTGTGGGGAGAGGAAGGAGAAAGGAGGATGGGCTGATGGGGACAGGGGGCCAGGAGGAGGAGGAGGCGGAGCGGGGGCGAGGGAGGACGGATGGGGATGGGAAGGACGGGCGAGAGAGGAGGTGAAGGGGCGAGCGAGGAGGAAGAAGGTAGAGGACGGGGAAGGATGTGGAGGAAGAGTAGGGAAGATGACGAGGGAGAAGGCGGAGGAGGAGGAGGAAGAGGAGGAGCGACAGAAGAACGAGAGAGAAGCTAGACGGAGCGAGAGAGGAGGGATGACGACGAAGAGGGCGAAGAAAGAGGAATGGGGAAGAGAGACTGGGACGCACGAAAGTTAGTTTTTCCTTCCCGCGGCGAAAGCGTGAGACAGTTCCAAGCCGGGCGGCGGAGACGCCGCGCACGCGCGCGCAGCGCTGTATCGCAACTAGATTGCTCAGGAGGGGGGAGGGCGAGAGATAACCGGCCTCGAGCTGATCCATCCTCCCACAATCAAGGGGGGGGGCTCGGGTGTCCGGGCCGCTCCCCAGAGCTAGGTCGAGGGGGCCAATTCGTGGGCGAGGCTCGCTGCGGCCAGAAAAAACACCCTTCCCCGCTCCTTACTCTGGATTATTATTGGTCGCACGATGCCTTTAGTTGAGGCTTATAAGGCCAAGGCGACAACAACCTCAGGTGCTGACGTACCCTCAGGAGCAGAGGTAACCCTTGAGATCGGCACAGGAAGAAGGCGATGCAAATTGAAAGGGGGAGGGGATGTGCTTCAGGCCGCTTCAGGCCGACCTCGGCGCAAGAACAATACCCCAGCCTGCGCAAACGCGGATGGGAGCCGTGGCTTCGGGCGGCCGGGGGCGTTCGATCCCGGCGCACCTCCTCGACTTGGGCCTCCGAAGGGGCTGCGCTCGGCCCCGGGGCCATCAAAGATGGATCTGGGATGCAGTCAAAGCTGATAGCACTGCAAACATGCGCGATGAGGATGCAAGGGCCTTGGACGCCCACGCCGAGGCTCTTCGAGTGGGGCTGGCCATCGAGAGAGGTCGAACATGGGCCGAAGATGACCAACGAGACAGGGATGCAGGGGTGCCCTTGGGACATCGATCCTCCTTACTAGTGGAATCGACTGTAATCAACTGCCCCGGGGGGGAAGGAGCCGGAAGCAAACACTCACACACACACACACATCGTCGGATGTCTGGGAGCGAGGGGCCCCCCTCCTGAGGGGGCACGATCTTTAAAGGAGGGCGGGCGGCTAAGTGGCGGAAACATCGAGCTGCAATCGGTGACACATCGCCGAGAGATGTGCGATAGGCCACCGATAGCGAAACCCACGATGCTAGGAACGACGGGCTGATTATCAGCCATCAGTGGTGCTGAATGGGAGGGTGGGGGTCGATATGCGTTCGCTCCTGAGCCGTACATTCCCCCCCTTCACGTTGCTCCCTAATTCTCGGGGCACGACTCGACTCTCCGGCGGCCGGGAACGCCCTCGGCGAGGCGCAGCCGCTGAAGGCACCCCGAGGCTGCAGAACCGCCGAGAACCGACGAACACGTCCGAGAACCTCGAAATTCGAACCTGACACGCTCCACCCCCGCATGCAGCACTCGGCGACTCCCAAGGGCGTGGTCTGCGAAGAACGCTCTTTGTAACCCGCGCCCTCGGGTGCGGGCGAGGACCTTGACAGAATTCTTCCCTCGGCGGTCTTTACGGCTGCGCTCAATCAACTAAGAATTGCTGAACCGACCCCTATTCCCGTTGGCGTGGCCATGGCCGCACTGGCCGACTCACCCGCTTAGGTGAGGATAGTTACACGTCGTTCGTGTCGAATCGTGCTCATTTCTAATTGTGCTCGTTTCTAATTGCACCTGGCCCCCGAGTGGCCGATGCGGCGCGATCCTCCGACCCCATCTACTCCGACCCCACCTAGGAGGCCTAGACAGACGCCTCGGGCCCCTCCCCGGCAGCCGCCACGCGACCACCTCGCTCCCGGGGCCAGACTCCTGACGGCCCCGGGGGGCCACCCGCGGCCTGACAAGCCGAAGAGCAGCCCTGACATCCTGGCGACTTCATCTTTCCGAGCCGGGTGTTCTTCGCCCGGCTTCGGGCCCGGGGGCCCTGACAGATCGATGCGGCTCAACAGAAAGGCCGTAGCAAGATGGGGGTCCAGGGGTCTGGTTGTGATCCCCCGCGATGCTGCATAGTTTTCAGCTACCCCAGATCAGGTAGGTAGTAGGAAACACTCCAATTGATCAAAACTAGCGCGTCCCCAGCCCATTTCTGACGGCCTCAGGGCCCGCAAGCGGCCCCACGCAGGCTGATCAAGACGGAAGCAAGAAGCGAGCAGATATCTCACGAAACCAATGATAGGTCGGGCCTGTCCTCCCACAGGCGGCCTTTGGGCAAAACATGAAACACACTAACAAAAAATGCCCCGAAATGGTAAAAAATACACCCCAAGTCGTCCCCAGACTATTTTTGGACTGTTTTTGAACATTCCTCCTGTAGGGGGACACGCCCGACTTAGAAGACCAGTGCTCAGAGGCCTCAAGGGCACTCCGCCGCGCGGCCTCGCGCTGCGCCGCTCCCAGGGCCCCGCGGGGGTGCACGTAGGTAGACACCTCCTTGACAGGCCAGGGCGCCCCGCACGCAGCTCTTCCGCCGCGCGGCAGAGGCAGAGGCGAGGTGAGAACTCATCCACATCCACCGCCTGGGAGCCGACGTCCTGGCACCCCGGCGGGCGGCGGATAAGGATACGTTGTGGCCCCCGGGGGCCCGAAAATATCCATATCCACCGCCTGTGGTCCGCGAGGATCGAGCCCCCGGGCGGGGGGCTTCTGGATGAGTTCCCGCCTCGGAGCAGAGGCGTTCCGCACGCGCACTCTCGCAGCCCGGGCGAGGCTCACTACGAGTGGCCCGTTGCGGCGCGAGAGGGGGGGGGAGAGGCGGAGGACGGCCGCAGAGGGCGGGCGCCGGGGCACGCACTGCGCGCGACGAGCTTCGGCAGGAGGCGGCCGGAGCGGCCGGCGACTGCTGAGGCGTCCCGGCAGCAGGCGCGGAGCGGCACCGCGCCCACACCCAGGGGCTGAGAGCTGAGGCTGCAGGCCGACGGCCTCCGCTCGTCGCTCTCTCCCGCCAGACCTGGGCCGAGTCCTTCCTGGCCCTCGCAGTGCAAGGCGAGGGAGGGCCCTCACAGCCAGGACACTGCTAACCAGACTCGAGTCCCCAAGATCGGCAAGCCAAAAACGATGACACTCTTCTGGAGGTGCCCTGGGAATCCGAGAGAGTCCTTAAGATCGGTACCGAGGTAAGGTGATTCCAAACACTTTTCTCGTCGGCGGCTAGGCAGGGGTCGTCTGTGCTGGCGGATGAAGCTAACTAAACGGGGGCACCGTCGTAGCGACTTGGCCTAGGACTCATCATTGAGGCTGAAATCCTGTCGCTCTAGCAGCAGTTGGATTCAAGACGCAGGGACGAGGAAATGCGCCAGCACTCTGAACAACTCCACCTGTAGAGCACGAAAAAAGAGGAGGAGGAGGAGGAGGAGGCGGAGGAGGAGGAAGAGGAGGAGGAGGAGGAGGAGGAGAAGAAGGTAGAAAGGAGGAGGAGAAGGAGGAGGAGGAGGAAGACGAAGGAGGAGGAGGAGGAGGAGGAGGAGGGAGGAGGAAGGAGCGTGCTCCGACCCACGACCGAAGCGTTTCTCGGGCGCACCACTGCCCTGGTCTGTCCAAGTACCTGTACATAGAGGGGACCTGGGGGGGCATGATGCTAGGACCAATCCAGATGATGGCAAGCATCGGGAATATCTCGGAGAGCCCGCGACCCTGGATGACACATCGGGCGACGCGGCCGTTTCATGGAGACCCTGGACGCTCTGAGAGCGTTCTGGGACGCTCCGAAGCGATTTCTCCTCGTCCTACGGTGCCTCAGCAAAAAGTGCCCTCACCGATGGCGCGAATGCAACTTGACATGATGACAACCACAACCGCATAACACATCTCCCTCGCAGCCCTGCCCCCAAACCCATGGGCGACGTGTCCATATTCTGTCCTTCTTGCCTCGTTCCCTCGAGCCCGACCCCGTCAATTCTGGGTTGGGGGGTGGGGGCCATCGATGCTGCCTTGGTGCACTTTGTGGTCGCGCTGCCTTGGCGCAGTGGATGCACCCCTGGGGGGGGGACAGCCCTCCGGGCCAGACCGCGGGGCACGGAGCGCGCCGCGCCCCGCGCCCGGCGGGTGACCGCCGTGCCACCAGAAGGAGCACCAGACGATAAAGGAGCGGAGAGGCGGAGTGGGCTTTTCTGGCCACGGCGAGCCTCGGCCACGAAGAGGCTCGCGGACCTGGATCTGAGGAGCGGTCGCAAACCGAAGCCCCGCCCCGCCTGGGCCCAAAATGGACCTTCTGACAGCGACTTGGCGCGCTCGGCCGGGGCCATCCTGGGCACCAGGGTGTTGTATTCGTCCTCGCGGCCTGGGCGAAGCTCATCTCAGGAAGCATATCCTGGGAGGTCGTCACAAGAACGATTAGGAACTGCTGGGCTCAATTAGGGGCACCACCAATCCGGATTAGACCGCGGATTCAGCCTGGGAGAAAGCCTGATTAAGCGGGGCGAGCCCAGATTCAGCAGGATCCTGCCTGATCAGGACGGTGTTCGACCATGGATATGCGATCGCCGATGCTGAATTAACATGCCAGGCATTGTGCCCGCCAGCCGGAAGAAGTACGTGGAAACATACAGTAAAGTATGAGGGCAGACCAAGTAGATTGGATCCAGGCCCGCCCAAAGGATAGCAGCAAAGAACAAGATATCGATGCATACATTAGGAAGGCGTTTGAAGTATATTGAGATCTGGATATCGAAGAATACATATGTTCAACGATTGGCGTGCATCCTGATCTATCCACTTCTCTTGGAAGCAAGAGCGGCCCTGGCCAGGCATGGTGATGTGGCTCCCGCGGATCCCTGGCCACCCGAGGATGGTAGCAGTGGGCTTCCGTGCGGAAAAATAACAGACAGAGAAGGCGCTGCTCTGACAGAGAGATTTGAATGCCTCTGTAGAAAACATTGTTTGTTTGATTAACGTTAGCCAGCGTGGGCCCCGACCCGTGATTTTCTTACAATCTGTGCGGCGAAATCTAAGTGATGCAGTCGAGGATGTGCAATCTGGGTGGCGCAACCGATGTTGTGCACAGCAATGGAAAGCGCGGACTTCTTGGATCGGCGCTGGACCCTCTCCTTTTCGCGCGGAGCTCGTCAGGGGCGGCGCCGGAGGCGCTGCCTGGGGGGCCCAGCGCCAAATTCGACATTTCTTCTTCGAGCGTGAGGGCCGCTGGCAAGATCAGCCAGCATCGAGTCGGGAGTTCGGGCCCTGGACGCTCGCCTGCTCTGCTTGTTCGCCTGCCGCCCGCGTTCGTGGGCCTGCGGCCTCTCCGCCTTCCCCCGCCGTGCCGCCGCCGCGTTGCTGCCGCCGCCGCTCTGCTGCCGCCGCCGACGAGGGCCAAGGGCAAACAGTCCTGGTGCACCAGGCGCTCGCGCCTTCGCTCGGCGCTCCGACGGGGAGCGCCCAGGGAAGCCAAGGGCAGAAGGTCCTCGTGTACTGGGCGCTCGCGCCTGCGCTCGGCCCCCCGATAGGGAGCGGGTCCCTGCCTGCACAGGGCAAACCCAAGTCGGCCGCAGTTCGTGGATAAGGAACAGGTCCCTGGACAGGGGACGGCTCGCAAACCCACGAAATCAGCCGCAGTTCCTGGACAAGGAACGGGTCCCTGCTTGGACAAGGCAAACCCACGCGCGGCAAACGCTCGGCTCCCCGAAAGGGGGCGGGTCCCTGCTTGGACAGGGCAAACCCAAGTCGGCCGCAGTTCGTGGATAAGGACCAGGTCCCTGCCTGGATAAGGCAAACCCACGCGGCTGCCGCAGCCCCTGCACAAGGGACAGGGCCCTGCCTGGACAGGGCAGAGCTGCGCGACTAGGCGCAGACCCTCGACGGGGGTCGGCCGCCGGCAAGCCAGAAGGCGAGCCAACGTCCACAGGTCGCCGCGGATTGCCTGGACAAGGCAACCGCGGCGACAGTGGACAAACGATTGGTTTTTCGCCCGCCCTCCCAGCCCTACTTCCTGGTTCGGCTGGTGCTCTGCCCAGGTGGTGTTTGGGTGTTTGTTGGACGTCCCAGGATGCCCACCTGGCAATGCGTCTGACGTGTTGCACTTCGATGCGCACGAGGGCACCAGCCGAACTTTTGGTGATCGGCTGCCGTGGTGATTTCCCTGGCGACGACTCAAGCCTACAATCAGTAATGTGTGCGACTTCGCTGTGGACTGGAACTACCAGCCCAACTCTAATTCCAATGGAGTTCTATCACGTGCTATGGGATTGGACTTTGAAATTTTCGGTTGGGTTGGAAATGGAGTGGCCTTGGGGCCTGTGAGCACCTAAAGGCCGAGGATGCGCGGTGAGGATGCAATGGCCTTGGAAGGCCATGCTGGCGTTTTCGAACGGGGATGGCCAGCGAAAGTCGCCAAGAACGTGCCCGAGGGGCAGGGATGCAAGGGAAGCCTTGGAAAATGGCTCATCCTGTTGACTGCAACTGGCCTCTGAACCCGAAATCGAGGAAACACGTCGGGACGGAATAGAAAATCATATCATCGGAGATCTGGGTCCCGAGATCGCCCTTAGAGATGACCCAGGAAGTCCAGCCGACGGCTACGAGAAGCCGCCCTAGGGCCAAAAAAGGACGATCAACCTCACACAATCTGTGCCCTTGAATTTCAATCCTCACAGGCATCCGACGGCATGGTTTTGTCACAACGTTGCTCTGCACCTCTTCCTGGGGACCCATCTTTCACGCTGAGTTGTTTTTGAGAATCCCGAATGCCTCCGACTGCTGAAAGCAACGGAAACCCTTTCCATCGTTACTCTCTTCGCGACGCGAGGGTGTCAGGGCTCGAAGTTGGCGACACGCGGCCAAGGACACCTCTGACATCACCCGGGCCGACGCCGCGCGGCTCCGAGGCAGAGGGCCTCTCCGCCTCCTCACACCTCGGCAGCCACGCCTCCGGAGGAATTGCCGCTGACCAGGCCCTGCACAATCTGAACGTTCCTCGGGACGGCGGCAAGAAGAGGGCAACACAGGGCAGACACGCAGACCCATCTAAAGCGTGTTGAACAAACTATGCTAGATTGTTGTCGCAGATTGCTGGCTCAGGGGGACCTCGCCAGGCCCTGGGGCTTTCCTGGACCGCGCAATGAACACAAAAACAAAAAATCTGATCTCTGGGGGCACTGGAGCCGGTCCTGACATTCCCTGACATCATCGCGTCGTGAAACCGTTCACGAAGGAAACCGTTCGGCAACTTTCAGACTTCGGGAACTCTTGCCTGAGTCCGGGACCGTCAACAATCGACCCAGCATGGAAAAACAGTCCCCGGAAAGAAGTCCAGAGCAACGTTGCGACCATCGGGGATATCGCAGAATGGAGACATGGGCTGGGCAACCACGATGTGAGAAATGGGGATAGCGTAGAATGGGAATGTCGGTTGCGGAGCCACGATGCGAAACATGGCAGAATGGGACATCTGCGGCTCTGGCCCCCCAGGCCCGCCTGTTTCCTCACCGGCGTGGACCCGCCGTGCCCTGCGCATCCAGCGGAGGGCCCCAGGTTTACAATTATATAAGCCTTGGGGCACTCCAGCGCGGCTGCGTGATTTGTTTCCCCAATCACCCTGTGGTGTTAGGTCTTCGTTTTGAAAAGATAGAGCTTCGCGTGTCTTCATCCTTCCTTCCTCCTCCCCCTCCTCCCTCCTCCCATCCACGCCTCTGCCCTCCGCATGTCTGTGTTCCGGCACGCCCAATGCAAAGTTCTGTGGCCTTGTAGGGAGCTCCACCGACGGACACAACGATAGGGTCCACATGGCGGCGCCGCCCCATTTTGGCGTACGCCGCACACGGCTCGTGGTCCCATAAGGAGCCAATCGAAGGCCCAAATGGCGAGGTCCACATGGCGGCGCCGCCCCATTTTGGCGCACGCGTCACACGGCTCGTGGCCCCATGAGGAGCCAACCGAAGGCCCCAACAGGAAGGTTCACATGGCGCCGCCGCCCCATTTTGGCGCACCGTTCACACAGGTCGCGGCCCCACACTGATCTCAGCCGAAGGCCCCAACAGCAAGGTTCACATGGAGCCGCCGACCCATTTTGGCGCACCGCTCACACGGTGCGTGGCCCCATACCCCATGAGGAGCCAACCAACGGCCCCACTGGCGGGGTCCACATGGCGCCGCCGACCCATTTTGGCGCACCGCTCACACGGTTCGTGGCCACATACGGATCTCAGCCGAAAGCCCCACTGGCAGGGTCCACATGGCGGCGCCGACAAATGTTGGCACACCCTCACACGGATCGTGGCGCCTCTGCCCTCCGCATGCCTGTGTTTCGCCACACCCAGTACAAAGTTTCGTGGCCCGGCAGGGAGCTCCACCGAAGGACCCAGCGATAGGGTCCAAATAGTGTCGCCGCCCCATTTTGGCGCACCGCTCACACGGCTCGTGGCCCCATACCCCATAAGGAACCAACCAACGGCCCCACTGGCGGGGTCCACATGGCGCCGCCGACCCATTTTGGCGCACCGCTCACACGGTTCGTGGCCACATACGGATCTCAGCCGAAGGCCCCAACAGGAAGGTCCACATGGCGCCGCCGCCCCACTTTGGCGCACCCCTCACACGACGCGTGACCCCACAGGGAGCTCAGACGAAGGCCCCACTGGTAGGGCCCACACGGCGGCACATGGCAAGGCCACACGGTTCTGGCGGAGGCCGTGCAGCGGTAGGATGAGGAATGGTACCTTTGTCCAGCGCGCGGCGCCAATCCAGGCCTTAGCAGAGGCACATCTGTCGCCCGGCTCAGGCGAAAACTTTACATGGTCAAGGGCCCTGAGGGGCGCACAGGGCAAATCGGCGGCAGAGCGCGTTTGGGTGAGGGCAGGCCCGCGGGGGGGGGGGGGAGGAAGCAGGTGGTAGGGCTACTGGCGGGACCCAGCTCTCTCAGCTCCTCCTCGCTGCCGCCTCCAGCCTAGCACGGTCCGTCCGAACACGCCTGGCAACCACAGAAAGAAAAAGGGAGCAATAACCTCTCTGTGGCAAGCTCAACAATCTCGAAGATGGCCTCAATATGTATTCTCGGATATCACACTATGGAAAGTCAGCCTCATCACGCCGAACGCGAGATGATGCTGACAGTTCTCTTCTCTGATATGTAAGCGCCACGCTGGCGCAGCCTGCCGTTGAGCGGTGCCTCGGGCTCGCAATACCACGACATCCCTTTCGCAGCGTCCATGGCCTCCTGAAGTCCAACTTGCTCGCCCCGAGAATTGCAATGCCTGAAAATACAATCGGCAACTCGGATCACCACTGAAACGCCTCTCAAACCTTCCTCCTCGAACAAATCCCGGAATGCGAACGAGAAGTCTGCAGGCGCCTTGTTCAGTTCAACCTTTTTGACCCTGCCGACGCGCTAGTCCACGGTGCTCGTCTCGGCTTCGGCCTCGGCCTGCGCGAATATATAGGAATCGATCTCCCAGGGGGCCGAAGAGACCTCCTCGCACCTCGCGGCCGCCATCCCCGGACGAGGCGACAGGGCGCACCGCGTTGTCGCGCTCGGGCATGACGGAGTGAAGCCAGTCTTCTCCATGGTTTCCGCCAATTCCCTCATCTGCCACATGAGGTAGGCCACTGAGACCGCAAGAAAGGCGAGGACAGCAAGTAGTATCAGGATTACGCAGTTTGCGTCACGATCGTCCGTCGAAATGGCAGCCACTGCTGCGGAAGGTGTAGCGCGGGACGCCTGAGCCAGCAGTCTGGACGCTAACGCCGCCGTCGATCTCCATGACATTGTCGTGCACGTATTGGTCCTCAAGGTTATCGCCCGTGGAGTCGTGATCGTCCTGCGCGTGGTCCTTGCCAACAGGACCTGGCTCGGCGCTTGTTGCTGCCGCTCCTTCGCGGGCGGCGGCACGTCGTACTTTGCCGAGCCAAAGAGGGCCAGGGGCAACGCCGCCCACGCAGGCACCTTCGTGAGACCATCCGCAACCATCGCATCCGTGCGTGTCCAGATCAGGATGGCCTTCTCGGACGGCCTGGCGCACTGGCAGAGCATGGCCACCACGATGCGGAACCTCTTATCTGCACAGGACCCGCTGACTCGGTTCACGGTCATCTTGAGGTCGTCGCTGTCCGCGACCACGGCCAGTTCCCGCCTCGGCGACTGCGCCTCGACCCCCTCCGGCTTGACGCCGCCGTCGGAGTAGAGCTCGCTCGGGAACTGCCTCAAGAACTGGCCGTGCCCCATCGCCTCGCCGACGCCGTAAGCCTCGGCTGCCAGCGTGGACCGCGCCACGCCCATGACCCGGGAACTGGCCTAGACCAGCGGGACCTGCTTGTCGCAGTTGCCAAGGATCACGTTCCTCGGATCGTAGGTCAGGCACGAAAATGAATCTGCCTGGCTCTTCTCGCCCTCCGCGCCGGCGGAGAGTCTCCACGGGCCAAGACCGTCGCGCCCTTGAGCGTCGCCGCGCCCTCCCTCAACGAGAATGCGTGCTCGATGGTGTCCTTGACGTGCTGCGCGAGCTTGTTGGTGGACATCGGATTTGCCATCGCGAGCCTGGACGTCTTCTGAGCCGGCCGTCTCTGCTCAAAGGCGACGTCTGGCCTCGAGCGGTTGGCGAGCCACTGCAGCTGTCCGTCCGTGCCCCTGAAGGCGCTCAGCTCCTCTTGGGCAACCAGCTCCTCGGCCGACTTCTTTCAAATCGCACTTATGTCGATGCGCCCCACTGCCTTCGCAACCTCTGCCAGGGATAGCCGGGCCCCCTCGACGCCGATGTCGTCCTGCACGCCGCAGTGCTCAGAGGAGGTGTCGCGCTTCACCAAGTGAAATTATTGCTGAGGTCCTCTCAGGAATCCGGCCCGACTCCAGGCGCCCGACCTTGCTCGAGAATCGGTGCGCTCACCGCTCCAGCCTCGACTAATGGATATTCTTCGCCAGGTAAGCGCGGAAATGATTGTGCCGGGCTCGGCCGGCGTCCTTGGCGCCGTAGATCGAGCCCTGGGTCCGTTGAGCGTCGCTTGGGCACGCGGATCAGCAGAAGCCAATCTATCCCCTCAGCCTGGAGGCGCGCCGACTTCGCATCGCGCGAACACCCGGTCCAGCCTTCCTGCGGCACATAAACAACGGTGACCATGAGCGCGTCCATCGAGCCCGCGGGGGCGTCGCTGCTGATGTAGGCCGAACGCCCCTGGCAACCCTGGACCGCGAGCCTGAACTTGAACTTGGATCGCTTCGTCTGCGTGCGCGTGACGACCCACTCGGTGCCGACGACCTTGGTGCCGTTCCTCACGTGGTGCTGCAACTCGTGGTCGCGACTCTTCCTGGCAGCTCCGATAGCCGCCCACGTCTCCCACCCAACCTCCATGGATGCCATCAGCTTACGGATGTGGCTGCCAGAAAGAGCCTCGATGTCGACCTCCTTGGACCTGGCAGCCATGGTCAGGTAGCAGCCTCGGACGCCCTCGACGGCCAGGGACATGGTATGTCTCGCGTCCTTGCGCGGTGGCTGGACAAGCTGGCCGCGGCGATCGCTAGGCCAAGGTCCCGATCCAGCAGGCCTGCTGATAGCGGGAAACGTCATCGAGATGACCGTAGCGGACCGTTCGAAACCCTCCTGGTCGACTGGAGCCGTGTCCAAACGACCCTGCCGTTTGACCTACCGACGGCCCCGCGCCTGCCGGAGACGGGACTGCTGGCACCTGCTCGCGCTCCTCCATGGTCGCGAACTGCGGGGCCTCCTTGTAGGGAAGGCAGTCCTCGAACGGCGCCTCGTCCACCTGCTGCTAAGAGGCAGCGTCCATGTAGGGCTTCTGTGGATCCTCGGCGTCTCGGAACTGGTCATCGATATGGCCGCCCTGGTCCTGAGGTAGCTGCGGTGTCTCCTCCGCGGCCACGGCGTTGTAGTCGTGGGCGGCCTCTGCAGGCTCCAGGGGCATAGGGTGCTGATGCGGTTGGGCGGCAGCGGGAAGAGGTAGGGGCACCGGTAGTCCGGGCACATGTG